CCGACTGTGTTTTGGCTTGAATCTGAGAGTCTGCAAGTGCGGCATCAAGGCAGCTAGGAATCAAGTATCGGTGCGTGACATCGACAAAGACAGGAACACTTCCCACTTAGTGATTTTTAGTCATCATGCGGCTGCCTGTGTCAGCTGTAGTGTCCCAGTTGGAATGTAGGGGTGTCCAGCGGTGGGTTCACATGACGGTCCTAGTGGGTCGCTCACTTGCTTGCAGGTGCAGACTACGCCTAGCGTCCATTTGCTGGCACCCGACTCTCACATGTGGCTCCCCGAAGCTAGGTTCTGCTTAGAGGCCACACCTGGAGGTCACACCCTGGCAACCGCCTCGACCGTCGGGCTAAACCAGATGACGGTATCCGTGTGTGCATCTGCGCGCACGGTAATGTGGACTCCGCTGGCCGGATGGATCTTCTCATCGCATCTTTGAGACGAGGTTCCGTCTGGTACACCGCAGGAGACCACAAGCTTACGGCGATGTCGTAGGCTCTCCCAGGCTAACCCGGGCCATTCTTCCGCTACACCATAGTGGACTTCGGCAGTGCCTGAAACAACTGAACAGCTCTATTTAGGGATGGCACTGCTCACCCCCGCGAGGGGAAAGAGGCTAGAAAAAGTGCCCTAAAGAAATGCTGGGGAACCACGCCGTCTGCAGGCTGGCCGTGGTCGCAGACGTTAAACTCACGGTCGAAACAACCAAGCGAGAAACAACAACAACAACAATAACGACAACAACAACAACAACAACAACAATAACGACGACAACAACAACAACAACATTTTCCTCTCCTCCTCCTCCTCCTCCTCCTCCTTATAATCCTTCCCGTCGCCCCACTCGCCAGACTGTTAGGGCGAGTTCACTCACTCTGGCAGCCTGGAATGTCCGTTCCTTTCTAGACAATAAGAGGAGCAACCGACCGGAACGGAGGACGGCGCTAGTGGCTCGGTAACTGGCACGCTACAAAGTGGACATCGCAGTACACAGCGAGACCCGATTCTCCGAACAAGGTCAACTGGAGGAGGTGTATGCCGGCTACATCTTCTTCTGAAACGGTCTCTCCAAGGCAGAGCGACGAGACGCAGGTGCCGACTTTGCCATCCTGAACGAAATCGTGGGACGACTGTCCTGTCTGCTGCAGGGCATCAATGATCGTCTGATAAACCTCCGCCTGCCTCTCCGAGGAGGCAAATTCGCCGAAAGTCAGCACTGACCGCACCCCTGAACCCCTCTTGCCACCCTCCTCCATCATCTCAACGTCCGCTACGACGGCTCCTGTCCCCACTACCACAGCACTCAATCCCGACACACCGACAAACATCAGTCTCACCACCGCCAACACCAGCGATGTGAACTCGGTCCATATCTGCCCTCATTGCGACAGCACCTTCACCTCACACTTCGGCCTAGTCGACCACTTGCGAATTCATCACCCAGAGGCTGACAAACCAGTGTCTGGAGCACCAATCTACACTCACCGCATCTGCCTCCGCTGTCTACACTGCCCTCGCACATTCATCCTCCACAAGTGTCTATTTGGACACATGCGCATTCACGAAAACCTGCGGTAGACAAGCGCCGGCTACGCCACACCATCACATCTTCTCCCACCGAACACCCACACCACACAACATCATCCACAACAGGCATCCAACCACCGGCTTCCACACAAGTGGGAAGTGTGCCTTTCGGCTCGGTCTCCATGCGGCTCCTCTGCTTCATGTATGATCCGAGTCCGTGACTATCACGGCACACCAAGCACCGTGGATTGAAAGGCTGCTGACTGACGACCCAACTCAGTCCAAGAAGTCTGCCCAGTTGTATGCGTTTGTGTGGAGTGGCGGACTGGTGGACTGTGAGTCAGGCGGTAACGGCTCCTTCCTAACGTGGCCTACGGCACTTTCACGCATGAGAGATGTAGGCCGCTCAGCCCCTCGTTGTGTGAAATCCTGGTGCTTGTATTTGGAGGCTAGGTCATGCATGTGGCGCGCGCAGACAAGGCCACTAGATAGGTCATCCACTGCGCCCATTCCTCGCACCTGTCAAGTGACCGGCTCGGACAGTGGCTGGTGCCTGCGGATGGGATAAGACCGACGACTCAACGCATTTTCCTCACTATAAACAATCTGATGCGCTTGAGGCAGTTACGGTGCGCTAGAGCCGTGTCTTGGGAAGTTGCCAACTGACGAAATTGCTGTGACCTCGCAGTCAGCCCAGTGTTGTGTGTTTGCGTGGAGCAGCTGCCTGGTGGTCTAAGAGTCAGCCTGGAATGGCTCCTTCTTAGTGTGGCTTCTATGGCGCTCCCACTCCGTGGGATCCGAGCCAGGCGTGATGGCACGCCTGGGTGCGACCGTGCCTGCGCAGGCCCCTTCTGTTGTTGCTGGTTAAAATCCCGGTCAGTTGCTGTGTGGACCAGGGGGTGTGGGGTGGAGCGCCAAGGTGCGGGCTTGACCGCGTCATCCACATGCGCCTTCCCCCGCCTCCAGGCTTCTTGACTCTGTCTTGACAATGGGTCCAGATGAGATGGGAGGAGAGAGTGCGGTAGATGTTGCGTAAGTCCACATTCACTACAAACCAAGTCGCGCGAAGTCACCAGACGTGCTTCACCTTGCGGTGGAGCACACCTTGGACATTAACGGATGCCGCGACTCTTAGCGCATCGTGATAAATGCAAGTGCGTCAAAGTGAAGAATATGCTGCTGTGCCAGAGTGATGGATTCCCTAATGTCGTCTTCATTCACTCTGCCTCCTTCACATGCACCATTCGGCTGTCGGAACCTGACTACCGACCGGGGGTTTAGACTGCGCGGGATGTCAGGTGTGGCGTAAAGGCCTACATCCGACGTG